ACAAAAATAAGTGTGGCTATGTTCCCATAAAACCTTATTTGTGGAAACACATTAGAATTTCATATAATTCTCACCTCTCATGAATTATTATTCCTCTTTCGATTTTTTACTAACCATTTAAAAATGTAAAAGTTCACAGGTCACACAGAAAGAGGCAATAGGCTGGATTCAGCCCAAGAGTCATGGTTTGCTGACCCCCAGTGTAGCCTAAAAACAGGTTTTAAAATGCTCAAGTGATTATAACTGTACACACCTGAATGTTTGTGTCTATAAAATGAAATCAAACATTAAGACAGCTATTTCAAGGCTTTCTTGGTCCGTAAGTTAATGAGGTAGCAAATAATTCCATTTAAGAAATAAGAAGTGGAAACTGCCTGTTGGTTTGTTAAAGTTATTCCCCACTTGTCACCATTTCACAGCATAGTGATATTATTAAATGTCAATTACATTCTGTACACACTGAAGGGCTTTTCATTTTAAGGTTAACAGCCCTAACGGCCCTTTATTATTCTAGTGTGACGTTACACTTTCAACATACTTTGGAGCCAAGATACACTTAGCAGAGAATTTAGGGAAAGCCTTCTAATTAGACCACAGTATTCTAACTTAATTACTTGTTGTAAATGATAGAAAACATACAAGGTGAAATTCTATATAAAAACCAAATCATGAACTTCTACTTAATTCTAAACTATATACATTTTGCCTTTCGATAAAATTAAAACATAAGCAAACACCAATTTGTCTATTAAGTCTAGGTTGCCCATTTACAAAAATGAGTTAGATTTTCCCTAGTGGATGCTAAATAAATTCACCTCTGATTATTCTATTTCCTTTGCCAATTTTGTCAACTCAACTTGCTTACAGGTGGAATTTGAGAAGTAGATGTCTGACCAAGCCAGCTGAGTAACTGATGAAGTGCCTGCCTATTCACAAGTAAGCCAACAGACAATAAACTGCAGAGTTTTGCCACTTCAGTTTCAAGCTCCTTTAATCACTAATACGAAAAAACAAAACAAAATCAAATAGAAAAAGGTCATGTAAAAGCTATTCAAGGTATAAGCAAGTAGATATAAAATAATAGGTAGGCAAGTGAAAAATTGTTTTGTTTTTCATTTCATTAGTATCACAGTGCTCCAACAGCTATGTAAGGATTAATGGATTAATACACACAATAATCACAGAAAAGCTAGTCACTTAATGTATATTAAGTGCTTACCATGTGATAGCCACTGAGCATCTCCTCACTAAAATTATAGTCTGTGTGTGTGTGTGTGTGTGTGTGTGTGTGTGTGTTAGTGGGTAGAAGGAATGTCAGAGAAAGATTTTTAGAAAAAAATGACCTTTATACTCATAATTGAATAATAAGCCAGAAAAATAAGCTAGGTGAAGAAAGGGGGAAAGAAAGGTCCCTTGTAGAGACACAGAGGTTTAAGGAAAAAAGGCATCACACAAGCCATGAATTAAAAGAAGTTCTTCATAGCTAGAACTTCAGGGTGTAAGGGAGAGGGATAAAAAGGGAGGAGGCTGAAGAACTTTGTCAATTATGTTAAAATATTTGGACTTCAACTCCAGTTTTAGACACTTGGAAGTTGTAATGCTGTGAGTATAAAGAAGGAAAAGAAAATTAGATACAAAAAGATCAGTCAGAATCTGACATATATTTGGGAGGTACAAGCTAATGATTGGATATACAAGGTAAAGGACATGAAGGAAGGAAGGCTGGCGTGAGGTTTCTAACCCAGCTCACTGCTTTGATTGGTTCTCTCATTTAATGAGAGAGGATAACCAAAGGAATATATAGTCAATTGTTAATCATGGGTTCCAAGTTCACCAGCTTATCAAAATTTATTTGTAACCTCAAAATCAATACTTGTGGCACTTTCATAGGTATTCAAGGGTGTGTACAGAGTGGTGAAAATTTTGAGTTGCCCAACACACACGTTCCTAGCTGAGGTTGAACAAGGCAACACTCTGCCCTTATTTCAGCTCACATACTATAAACAATTATCCTTTTCATGGTCTATCTAGTGTCCCTGTTTTCAATTTTTTGTGCTTTTAAAAAAAATGAGATGTAATTAATAAATTATTATATTAGTTGCAGGTGTCCACCTGAAACTAATATAATATACTGTATTTGTATATACTACGAAATGATCACCACAATAACTCAAGTTAACATCGATCACCACATAGTTACATTATTTTTCTTGTGATGAGAAATTTTAGGATCTACTCTCAGCAAATTTCAAATACATTATACAGTATTATTAACTATAGTCACTATACTGTACATTACATCCCCAGGGCTTATTTATTTTATAACTGGAAGTTTGTACCTTTTGACTACCTTCATCCAATTTCCTCAGCTCCTACACACTACCTCTGGCAACCACCAATCTGTTCTCTGTATCTATGTGTCCCAATGGGTTTTGTTTGTTTAGATTCCACATATAAGTGAGTTACTACAGTATTTGTCTTTCCCTGTCTGACTTGGTTCACTTAGCATAATGCCCTCAAGGTCCATCCACGTTGTTACCTATGAAAAGATTTCATTCTTTTATATGACTGAATAATATTCCATTGTGTATATATACCACATCTTCTTTATCCATTCATAAACCAATGGATACGAAGATTGTTTCCATATCTTGGCTATTATAAGTAACACTGCAATGAACATGGGGATACAGACATCTTTTCAAGTTGGTGTTTGTTTTCTTTGGATAAATGCCCAGAAGTGGAATTACTGGATCATACAGTAGTTTTAATTTTTTGAGGGACCTCCATACTGTTCTCCACAGTGGCTGAACCAATTTTCATTCCCACCAACAGTGCACAAGGGTTCCTTTCCTGTCACATCCCTGCCAACACTTGTTATTTCTTGTCTGTTTGATAATAGCCATTCTAACAGGTGTAAGGTGATAGCTTATTGAGGTTTTGATTTGCATTTCTCTGATGATTAGTGATGCAGAACTCACTAGGATGCAAGCTCCATGAAAACAAGCTTCTTGTCTGTCTTATTTATTGTTGTGTTCACAGCCCCTAGAACAATGCTTGGCATGTAATTGGCATTTAAAACAAATATACATTTGTCAGAAAATTGATTAAAAGTACAAATAAAACATTAATCAACAGTTTCTTTTAAAACTCCATTTTCATATTTTCACTTTATCTGCTATTGCAATGATCATTTCTTTGCAATTATTCCTATTCATCTCATCCTGTTGTTTTTC